AGGGAGGGAGGTGAGGCTGGGGTTGGTGGAGGGATGGAGGCTGCTCTCTTCACCGTTGGCTTCTCTTCTCCACCTCTCTCCTTCCCAGACGCGTACGCACGAGGATCCGGCTCTTCAACCTCCAACGCCTGCACACTGTCGGCCATCAGCACAATAATGATATCGCTCACAGCTCGGTCCAGTTTATGACAAAAATGACCTAAAGGACTCCTTGTTTATAATATAAGCAACATTTAGCTAGTTGTTTTGAAGACACCCAGTACTAAGTAATATTGTGGTTTGAGTACATCTTACTACTGGAAAAAAAATGTTTATGCTTCTTTAGGAATGGCATTATACAGTACTTCCTCAAAGCAAATATAGCTTTGTCTGAAGTTTCCTTGGAAACTCTGCAATGCACTGAAAACATCTGTAATACGATGTTACCAAAGCAGTTTACATATGTCCTTATATGCATATTTTTTATTATATATTTAGTGTTTTATAGAATTTTTTAAAGTTAACATATGATGTAGATATTAATTTTTCCTCTGCTCTAAAAATGCTACGGACGACATTATCATGAAAATATTGTTTGGGATTTTTTCCTTTACGACGGAGAGTTCAAAATTGTTCTCAGTAAATTGGCTGCAACGTTGCTGTACAGTTTCACGAGGCTACGCGAGGCAGAACTGTCCCAGCTCGGGTCCATAATGCAGCTGTATTTAAATGGCAGTTACGATGATTCTTGTGTTAAATCAAGCGCTTAGAACACACAAGATGTTACATTTTATTCAGAGGCCTAAGCAAGACAAACTCGAAATAGTAAGAACACTATGATCTCGAAAAAATACATGAGTTTCGGTTGTTTTGTGGACTACAGGACATGTAGCTAATATTCTGGCATCACGCAGCGAGGGTCCCTTTTTACTGTCATGAAATAGCTTTGTCTTTATCATGATCAGCATTAACTTGGGTAGGAACGAAGATCCTGCAAAGGTGCGATCTCTGCCTCTCGTGATTCAAAAGGGACGGGTACCTGAAGAAGCGAGTGAGCAAACGAGGTGGTTCTCTGGTGTAAACCCGGCTGAAAATCCACCTCGCTTCAGGGGATTTTATTCCGAGAAAATCAAGAGATAGCGACTCCGACACCTAAAGCCGCCCAGGGGTCGTCGTCCAAACGCACACTGGCTTTCCCCGCGCGGCAGAACGGAACTCGTCATCCTTTGCAACTCGTAACTTGTCATCCTGCCTGACTCCACCCGGTAGGAAACGTTGAGGAAATCTGGTGTGGGAGGAGCAGTGCCGTGTTTCGGAGAGCGCCACGGCAGCTGGGCACCCCCCCGGAGGGCGAGGAGCGAGGGATCTCCCGCCGTCCTCTGCTAGAAGCTCTTTGAAGGTGAAATAGGGTCACGCCGGAAAATGACAATATCCACAGCAAAATAATTCTTCTTCAGAGAAGGACTGTTTGTTACGACGGGGTCATTTTGTAAGTTCACTCAGATGGGATAACGGTAGTAAAAGGCAACGGAATTTTCTATACAATTTTCAAGTTTAAATGCGCTGCAGTGGTTTATTATTCTTTTTTTTTTCTTTTTCTTTTCCTGATAGCTTGAATTTGCCTGTAACTTGTCTCTTTTGCTTACAGAAATAATACAGTTAACTTTTAGACCTTCTAAATATATTTATTCAGTAACTCATAATCAGGATTCCACTTGTGTAAAAGTCAGGGGTGTTGACCAGAGAAATATTGTCAGTATTTCAAGCTGTGTTCCTTTCTTAGTTTGATATGGTTACTTCTATGTAAAAAAAAAAAAAAAGGGAAAAAAAATGAAAAAGGAAAAAAACCACAAAACCAAGAAAAACGGAACAAAAAAAAGCTTCTGTAGTTTTCTCCCCAGTGTAAATGATATTTATCAGTGATCTAGCAGATGTAATCTTTTTTTAAAGGTATTGGTAATAAATATTCTGTCCTTTGTAAAGATACCTGTCTTTCAGGAGCGTTTTTCCTCCACGTTTCGTTCTACCCAGTGACAAATTTCACCCTGGCGATAGGCGGTGCCTGCTGAGAGTGTCACTGACATGAAGACACAAAAAGAAGAGTCGCTGTAAGTCAAAACTCTGTGGAGGCAGAAACAAAAATCTTATTTAGACATCTCTGATCTGATTCTGCTTCCAAAAGTAATGAAAACCACCTGCACGGGCGAATTTGGGGCGGTAACACCTGGTTTGTGTAGTCAGGATCTTCCCAAGCTTGTGTGGGCTGGTGCTGTCGGAGTGAAGCCTCTCAGCTCGGGAAGCTCAAAAAAAGGGGGAAAAACCAACCAAATAAACAAATGAAGAGACCAAACTGGCTCCACCACGAGCTGTGGGACCACAGAGCATCACGGAGCCCAGTGCAAACCCTGTCTCCTCCAGGTACAGCCCTATTTCTCTGGTTTTCCTTCTGGATTTCCTGAGGGTTTGGGGGAAAAAATTGCAAAAATTCACCAAACCCGCTCCGCTAATTATGATTTATGGTGGCAGCAGCGCAGGATGTGTGCGATTGCACTTCTCTGTGTTTCACAGGGGCAGTATCGTGATCTGCAGTCAGCGAAGCTTCCAACCGAAACAGCCTGCGAACCTAATTCAGGTTTTTAAAGGGACAATTTAAAATTGCCGTGTCTGTAGGGGACGAGGGGTGCGCTCCTGCAGAGGCAGCGGGGAAAAGTCGCAGCAGAAGGAACATGCAGGGTTTGTAGCTGGGTTTAAAGAAAAAAAAATAATTAAAAAAACCCCTCAGAATACCTATTTCTGCACACTCTGGACACAACTCTGGTGTAGGAGTTTGGGGGTAGGCAGCAGCGTTGCTTTCCACTGCTGCCCATCCTTACCGGTGATGCTGAAAATCAAAAGTGTATTTTTCTCCCCCAGGTCCCTGCATCGGGAGCTACTTCACCAGCGAGGGCTGAGCTGTCACATACGGCCAAATGTACAGCTCAGATGCAAAATATACTGAAATATATTGCGTTAATGTCTGTAATATCTCGCCATTAACGGGAAGGAAATTATATTTAGCCATCTTATTTATTAGGCCACTTGAAGGCACCACGTACATTAGAGTAAATGAATTCGCTTTAGTCTCACTTTGAGGATTTTACTAATGAAAGTCTGATTTTTGGACCGTTACAGCTGGGCACCTCAGATCCATTAAAATCACATGCAGGAGAGACATTCGAGGCACAAACGTTGTTATATTAATGAGCTACATTAATTTTGATGGAGCCCTGCTACTTCACCCACGTGAGAACTGGCTCATTTCTTATAATTATTTTTAACCTGTAGCACTTGGGAACTATGTTACATTTGGCACTTTCCAAATGATTTACTGGCTGGGTCAGATCTTTCTTTTTGCTGTTTGTGAACGTGCTTAACCCCCGCTCTGGGCAGCTCGAAAGAGATTTCTTGGAAGTGGAAGGGACTCTGAAAGAGGAGGAGAGCTTCGTGCTCCACAGCCAGAGAGGTCACAAGCCTGAGTTGTCCAAGCGGTTTATTTGGTAACTGGTTTGGGGGATTACACAATGTGAGTAAAAAAATCACAAACAGAAACTGAGGCTGACTCAAACAGTTGGAGATGAAACAACAGATAGTGAAGAAAAACAGGATGCAGCGTCTGGCTTGGATTTTCAGAATTACCTGACGGCAGCTGAAGCTGCACGTGAAGGAGCAGCCCAGCTCCCCGCGGCTCAGAAAGCCTCTCAAGAGCACCAAGAGGTCCTCGGCACATTTCTGTGACTGCTGAAAACTCTGCATTCCCAGGCTGCGCTTTGTTCTGTAAGTGCAACTGAGGAAGTTTATCAGCTTTTGCCTTTTTTTATTATTATTTTTTCCTCTTAAGCTTTACCCTCTTGTGCCAGGAAGCGCAAACGATCCCTTCTTGTCGTTTTGTGGATGCTGCTAGCTGATGGCAAAGGCAAGAGCCTGCAAAGGAGCCTTGGGCTGAAAATGAGCCAACTGCGAGTCTCACGTGTCCCCCCCTGCTCCTGCAGCCCTCGGTGAGCAGCCAGGGGGGCAGCCAGATGCCCTTCCAGAGCACACGCATCCCAGCAGCATTCCCTCATCAGAAGGGGATGTGAAAAACCCAAGTGAAGCTCTTGTACCACACTGAAATCAAGGCATGCAGCAGGGTGTTGTTGGGTGTCTCTGTCTGCCCAGCAGTGGAAATACACAAGCTTAGATATTTTTACCAACATCTCAGAACTTCACAGGAAAAAAAGAATCTGAGAGTAAGACACTTCAGAGCTGGCCATGCCCAGGCAGGGCTCGAGGGGTTTTACACTCAGAAATGGGGTCGGTGCTCTGCTGGGGCTGCCACAGGCGCTTCATTTGCCAGGGGCTCTTCAGCGTGAGTCTCCTGTCAGTTGTGTGCAGTGTTTTGTAGCTCTTCACCAGAACAATTCTCAATTCCCAGGCTGCAAATTTCCTTTAGGTCTAAAAGTGGCTCATACAACCAGCGCAGCACCCAGGGCCACCTGCAAACCTGCCATGCACGCAAACCCAGAGAGTTTGGGAGCTCCCTTCAGCAGAGAAGTGCATTTCCATGGAGGTTGTTCAGGTCCTTTGCTGAGATCACGCTGTTTCATTACCAAGCGTAGCGGTGAAGGCCACGTGTGAGCTCACGCTCTCAGGAAGGATTTGCTGTAGCCCTGCAGCACTGGAGGGTGATAGCACTGGGGTATTCTACAGCTCATTTTACTCTTCTCCTAGTATTTGTCCCAGCTTGCGTCGTGAGTTGTCAGAATTATTTCAAACAAAAATCCAAAAGATTAAGCTGTCAGAAAAAGCTATTAGCTCTTGTCCAGATTTTTTTTTTTTTCCCAACACACAGCCCTTGTACCCTGTACTTCTGCTGAAACCAGGATTTTTTGTTTGTTTGTTTAGCAGCTTATCACTATGTAAGGAACCTCGTGGAAGCAGTTCCTCCTCCCTCGCTGGAAACACCACCTGTGACACCGGGTGACATGCTGGGGCCTCGTAGCCGCTCAGAAGACGGAGTCATCGAGGACGCTGCAGGTGAGATCTTCTGTGAAGCTGCCGAACTCGGTCTCCGTCTCGCTGGTGCAGGTACGTGCTCTCTGGAAAGCAAACATCACTTTTAGCTGGCAAGCTGGGAGCTAAACTGAGGTCATCAACCGAACTGCATCGATGGAGAGAGGAGCCACGACATATCACTTTGTGTTTCAGTATTCGTTACAGAAAAATGCTGCAAAGCCCTCACCTACCAGCATGTTTTTTGCAAAACACGGGGTTTCAAGTTGGGTGTGTTTAAAGAGGGGTTTCACCCAAAATGTTTTGTGAGGTGGTAGCTGAGGAAAGAGCGTTGGGTTCAACAGAATAATTTCACCAGAGAGCTCGTGGCCCTGCTGAAGCTCTCGCAGGGCTGCTCATCGCTCTGTCTGGCGACTAGAGACAAGGCAGCGCTGCTTTTGATAATGTGAAACAGCTTTTGCAAGCTCACATTTTCTAGCTGCAGTGTTAATATTTGCTATTCCTCCTGTTCTTATTTGTGATACCCTAAGTCCTGTTATTTTACATCAGTGACTTTAATTAAAAACAAACATTATATGATAATCTTTTAAGCCTGTCTCTTTGACCAGAAAATTGAGTAAGAACAATACCCAAAAAAAAATCAAACCCTTGTTCTAAGGGGACAAATTAAAAGTAAGTTACTGAACAGCACTTCCCTTGAGCAGACAATGAGTTTTATCTTATCTGTAAGGCAAATGGTATTTGTCGGGAAGTAACAGCAAACATAATAAGGCTTAAGACCAGCTTAGCAGTAGGACCAAAACATTTCTCATTGTCAGGTTGAAAGGCTTTAGCTCTAACTGAGCGGTAACAAGCTACCTGCTCCCAGCCTGACAGGGAAAGAGCAGCACACAAACATTAAGAAAAAAAAAAAAAAAAAAGAGTGAGTTAAATGTTATTTTTACCTCGTATTCATTTGGGAAAGGATCTCTGAATTTGTTGCTGGGTGTTGGAACTGGTGGAAACAATTTACTCCATACATGGTTTCTGCAAAAAAACCCAAAAACAGTAGTGGAAGGATGTGAAAGAATTGCGTGTTCTGAGGGCTGACGTATCCGACAAACAGCTCGTGCTCAGCCCCACGAGAAGGCACGTCTGTCCATGCTCATGTTCTTCCCAAGGGCTGCTGTGTTGTCGTGTACCTCCTTTGGACAGGCAAAACAGGCTGCCTCTCGCTCAGACAGCGTTTCTGGACATAATCTCGTAGGAGGAGAGCAACCGCAAATAATTGCGTGCCGAGGGAACGAGGAGGAGGCAAGGGATGGGACCAGAGACAGCTGACAGCAAATGGTCCCGCTCAGCAACCTCATAACTCACCCCACCAACACCCTCCGAGATGCTCCCTCCCTGCCTGACACTCCAACACACAGGCAACTGTATTTCTGCGACAGCAAGTGCTGCAGAGCAAACTTTTGTCTTGCCTTCGATACATCCCAGAGTACAGACCTCGCGTGGCGATCACCAACACGCATTCCCTGTCCCTACCCCTGGACAGCACAATGTCCACACAGGGCCAGAACTGAGTGGGCACTTGGCCCAAGTGAAGATAATAAGATTTAGCCCAGCTAATATCTGGCACCTGTTTGTGGAGCAAGCCTGAGCTCCGTGAAGCAGAGACAGGGCCAAGGTTGCTGGGACTGAGGGCAGATCCGTTTCTCTGCCCTGCTTATTTTGTGACAGTTCTCCTGGCTGATGTCTGGTTAGTTCAGCGCTTATGTTCTTAGGACTATTCTTCTTCCAAAAGCTTTCTGAGTTCTGTTGAGCTTTTATTTATCCTATTATTCCTTCTCACCAGGGAGGCAAGGAGAAATAATATTTTCTGTCTGTCAGTTTGAAGCTAAACCTTCCTGGCTGAGCTGCTGCTATCTTGACGGAGACATTGATGTTTAATTAATTATGAGGTGAAGGGAAGGCCATACCCCCCTTCGCATGATTGACCCGACCAGGATGAGCCAATGTGAACACTCCAGCTCCAGGAATTGTCTCTGCTCTTCCCAGCTCTCCTGCTAAGGGTTAGGTCTTTGTGACCATACCCAGGTTGGTTTTGCAAAGCTGTTGTCTTCATGGCTTCTGCACTCCATCGAGTCTCCCGAGCCTTTCAGGAGAAAGGCTCTGGAGGCCCCACGGTTTCACCTGTTTCACCTTGTTTCAGCTCTGAGCGTGGGTTGGATTTGTGCTGTGGCTGTGCAACGCAACCAAGGTGATGTGGTCTCGTTAGGAATCGGCGTGTTTCTTGCTGTGCTGGTTGTCAATAAAAGATTTTGATGGAGCATTATCAAAATTATTTATTGAGCCAACAAAGAAAGCATTAAGTTACATGTTGCTTCTGGAATAGAAACACTTCAGGAGGAGTGCACAAACGCCCAAGAGGACGAGGCAGAAGCACACTTGTGTTCATGGGGGCTGCTGGCCCCTCGGGCGCAAGCGTCTTTGCAGTAGAGGCGCTGGTGGGAGTGGTGACAGTGGTGCCCTCAGAATGGTCTTGTTCTTTGTGGCAGGACACTGAAAAGTTGGAGTTACGTGATTAAATACCTCATCACAACAAGTGTTCCAGTTATCTCTGCTTGTCTCTATATGGTTCAGAGCGTGGCCCTTTTCCATTATTGCTACTTGGACCTTCGGGCTTTGAAAACAGCTCACAGGACCCTCAGGTCTTAGATGAGCAGTTCAGGGCCTCCAGTTATTGTGCTGTGTCTGTCTTTCTGCAATTTGCCACTTTTCCCACAGGCTGTGATGTGAAAAGGCCAAAGATAAAGAGAAATAAGTAGGAGAACAAGTTCTTCTTTCCCCTCTTGTAAGCACTACGCCGAGATTGATACAACATTTGTCTCACAGCACGTTCGAGTGCCCTTTCTAGTGTGTTGCCTCCCCCGAGATTCCCCGTGACATTTTTCCAAATGGTTTCCCAGTGACTGCTGGTCGTGGACTGGAGTGGGGTGCAGAAGAGGGAGGGGTACCCGGTGGAGGTCGAGGTGACCAGATTGATCAGGGCATGGAGGGCTACTGCCTATCCTCAGGTCGAGTAAGTGGAGAGCAGCTGGAAGCAAGTTGTTAACTAAATCCTCCCGTGGGCTCACCTCCAGGAGAAAATGTTATTCCGAGGTACTGCCTAAGGGAGTACAGAAAATGCACATTCACAAAGACAGAGGGCAAATGAGGAAAACATTGAGTTGGGCTTTTTATCAAGACAGTAACACCATCAGCTACTGCAAGTAAGTGAAGGGAAAAGACTATTGACACAGTCCCCACGGGCCACTTTGCCTCCCAGCACTTCTCCCAAGCGGTGGGCTCTATCTCTGATGCCTGCAATCAGTGGGAAGCACACAGCAAAATTTATAGAACTCTTTGCTATAATGAAATTCCTTATAATGGCTTCAAATCGTATGAAATTCGAAACGGTTCTGGGGCTTGAATTGCACGGTGCACTTCATGAATTTTCAAAAGCAGTAAAAACTGAGAATGCTAATGAAACTGTGATGTAGGGAACCTGTTCTATTTTTCTGGGTTTTTTTAATATCTGCAGATACAACAAATGAGCAGGCTAAGCACTGCGTTTCATCGTCTTACACTTCTCACCTCCTCGCAGGGCAGGCTGGGGGATTAGAGAAGCGGCAGGACACTGAGCAAGAAGCATCTCGGGAAGGGAGGAGTAAAGGTAGCGCCTCATGAAGTTCAGTGCAGCAGGCAGATCAATTTTAATCGCTTTGACAAAAGATGGAATGTATTGAGCCTTTGAGTGCTGGGGAATTATATACTAGCCGGGTAGAGAGAAACTCTGAACATCAAGGAGCTGAGCCTGGAAAAGCTAGCTTAAATTTGCCTGCCATACTGAAATTCATAAAATGCACCAGTTCAGCACCTTAAGATGTTCCTTAAGTGGTCTCCTATACCTATTTCTTCTCCTCTGTTTGGTTCAGTGTCTCTGCAGGGGTGACTGCATCATATCCAAACTCTTGCAGAACTCCACAGGAAAACATGGAAGCGGTACAACTGTTCTTAACTGGTGTTGGAACTGACTGGTGTTGGTGTTTTGCTATCCGGAAGAGAGAGGAGAGAGCTGATGAAGATGATGCTGAAGGACTTCCACAGGCAGGTCAAGCTGCAGTAGGAGCAGTTTGGGGATTTCTACCCATACATCAAGGCTGCATGGATGGGAACAAGTGCATACGAAGCACAACATGAATAAACACTCTGGGGAGTTAATCTATCCTGTTCCAAAAAGAATTGTTTATTGAGGCCTGTGATGCTAATTAAATTGACTTTAGAACAGGTTATCATAGACACCAGGCACTTTAGGGAGAGTTAATAAGAGTTACTCTAATGTAACACTCCTGTAGACAAGACCTTTATTTGATAAAAGACATGTGGTCTAGAAAAGAAAATAGCCAAGGACACATCAGGGTGACCAATAAATTAAAAGGCATTAAAGAAATGAGTAAGAAATTAGCAGAGCCGAGGACAGCACTTACATTACTGGGAGCAGTGTTCGCTGTGGACTGATAATTGCTGCTTGATGCATGTTTCACAGGAGAAGCTTGTAATTACATTGATTCTTTAAGTCATCACTTAGGATTTGACTAGTCACAGCTACAGAAATCCAAAGTGTATCTGAGTTTCATTTTGGGAAGTTTGGCTGTGTGGCCTCTGGTATTACTACTTGACATCCATAGCCTCTGTGGTAATTACAAATGAACTAAACAAATATTTCAGAAACTTAAAGTAAGCGGCAGTTCAGCTCTGTTGCTCCTGTTAAGGGGTCAAGAGGAGCAGCAAGCACAAAAGCCCTGGCTTTTTACCTCTTCAAAGCATCCACCACATTCCCTTGATATCAGCTGAAATTCAGGGAGCAATGCAGAGCTGCAGGCTGAGCTAGACAAGGCTGATAAAATATTGGTCTGTACGTGTTAGCCATGAAAGACACTCTCAGCTTTCACCAGGGCGAAAGACAGAGTTCTCCCAGGGCAATCACTGGCCTGACCCCATCCATTCAACTGAAGAAACAAGAAAAGGGCAAACAGATTTGGAAGAAATTTGCCTCATTCAGTATATGGTTTTGTTGGTTAAGATTAAATTGAATAACCCTCTTACCCCACCAAATTTGTTGTTGATAATGAGGCCGATTATTACTTTTCAGTACTTTTGGTGTGTATAATTATGCTGGAATACCAAACTCAGTGCCCTTTCTTAAAATTAAGCCAAGCTTGTGAAATCTCCACACACTTGTTGAACACCTAGTCCTTAGTTACGCTATAATTAAAAAGAAGATGGTGATACTTACATTTTGCATATCATAGCAACAAGCAGGAACGTGCAGCACGTGAACACACAAAGCACCGTGAGAATCCAGGCTATGGGATTCTCCAGCTTTTTTGGCCCTGAATTGCAAGGAAAATAGAAAATAAATACATTGTTTTTTGCAGATTATTTTAAACACAGTCTTACAAAAGATTTCACCAGCTGTTTTGTGTGATTAGACTCAGAAGACAAATAAACACGTGAGGGATGAAGACTTGATATCTAGAATTAGAAAGGAAATGCAGAGCTTCAAGGATAATATCAGTGGAACTGACTTTCTAATTTCAGCAACAAGTATCTTTCATTTCCACATGAAGGAGAGCACAAATGAGGAGCCAGTGCTTCTCCGTCGTTAACTACCGACCTGTCAGCCTCACCTCTGTGCCTGAGAAGATCATGGAACAAACCCTCCTAGAGGCTCTGCTAAGGCACATGGAGGACAGGGATTAGACTTTAGGATGAGGCTACTAAAGAGGGACAGTTTTCTTAATTATTGAGGTGTTTGGTCGGCCCCACCTGCTCCTCCAGGTTGCTGAGCCTTTCTTCCCAAGGGCTTGTCATGGAGCCAGGTGGGAAGGTCAAGGGCACATGTTAGACTAAAAGGCAAAACTCCAGCAAACCCGCATTCACAAGGTGCAAGAGGGAAAAATGTAGTAAACTGCAGAGCGCAAGGGACTTTATTTGTAAAGTGAAAACCAGGAAGTTAAGAAACTCCAAAGATAAGAGCAAAGGAGGATGACTAAGAAGAAACAGTTGATAACGTGTTGTGATAAAGAAACTTATTTTCAGAAAAACATGGTCAGCAAGCAGGAAGTACAGAAAGAAGTGGGGCAAATTATCACGTTCCACAGATGCTAAGACTTTTTTTACCCCCCCCAACATTTAAGAGTTCAGATAGCTCCAGCAAAGTAATAGTTGACATGATCACTTACATTAACTTCCAGCATGAACATCAAGATGCATGCCAGGAAAACATATGTAGAAACTAAAGAAGTAATGTAACTAAAAAGCCTTACCTAGAGCTTAGGCCTTAAGTGAATTTAAAGCAGCCTTTGAAAAAGCACATGGAAACAAAATGCTGTCTAAAAAACCTTCCATATATCCGAAAGTTTGCTTGGGAGATTTTTTTATTATTATTTTTAATGGAACACAGATTTATCTCCCCTTAGCATGAACAAGTCAGTTCCTTACTTCAAATACCTGTTTTCCTGGTTTCTATTAGAGTTACTTGGCAGCATTTGCTTTCCAGCAGTGTAGTGACATCCATTAAAAGACAGAAGCATGTCATTCTTACCAACGTAAATACTCTCAGTCCAGTCGCTCCAAAATCCTCTCGTGCAACAGATGTGATGATTAGCTCTGATCTGTATGGAATACCTGCTGGTAACATCAATCTGTAATCTGAACTCATTGGAGGATATTTTCAGTATCTGTCAGGAAAGCCATATTGTACTGTTATAGATTGCTTAAGATTAAATAATTCAGAAGCCAAACCTTAACCCTGTTTATTTATTTATTTTTTTAAGCTTCTTTATGAGATTAACAGTGAGCCTCTGGCCTTGGTTTCGAGGTAAGACCTCTGGGTTTTTTAGGTGTATTTTCTCCCATAATGCACCAACACGTCAGGGCAAATTCTTGAAAGATGCCCCAGTTTTGCTCCCTTCCTTCAGACACTTGATGCTGGATTTTTGAAACTGCCCATCCTCCTCCTGTTCTGAACTCAGATGCATGAAAACAAGTAGCTCAAATTTTTGTCCTTCTGCTTTGCCAGATCTCTTAAGAATAGCTTGTTGCAGGCACAAATGATGTCCAGCAAAATGAAGAAAACTATGGAAACTGATGAGACTTTGGCTTTGCTGAACCCTCATGACAACTGGGACACAAGTTTCACCAAAAGTCCATAGTTACAAACATACACTAAGAGCAGGTTTTATTTTAAAGGCTTTAAAATTTGTAACATATCCATGAATGCAAAGACTTTCTCTCTAGGTGGCATGAAGGCAAATTCTAGCTCTACAGGACAGTCAGCTCAGAGGCAGAAACACCCTGTGGTACCAGAGTATCGGAGAAGAAATTACCTGCTTGTTACGTGACTTCAGGTTGAAGAGGTAAAACTCATATTCAAAACATTCTTTACGGAACAGAGACATCGGCTTCTCCCATGTGGCCAGGAGATCATTTTGCTCTAGGAATACAGTGACATTTCTGGGAACATTCACTTTCTCTACAAAAAGAAAATGGTACTGGTAAGTTATTTGTAGAGCAAGTCCTCTAATCCTTGAATTTATTTCACATTTGGGACAGAAAAGATAAGGATTTAGGAGGAATAGCTATATTGGAGAAAACAGTTAGGGGAAAACAGTTTTAAAAATCCACTTAAAAGTTGTGGAAAGCTAGATTGGGAGGCAGGGCCAGAATTTATTTCATTAATTTTCACAAAAGCATGAAAATAATGATAGAACAGTTAGAAAAACAGTTAGAAAATGATAGAACAGTTAGAAAAAAAACAGATGTAACCAGGAAAGTTACTGAAAACTAGAACAAATTCAAAGACACGGATCAGCAGCTAATATGAGGATGGTGTCTAAGATGGAAGTACGTCAACTGTTTTATTTAGTGAAGCCATGAAGAAGGGAAATGCTATCTGTTTACAGAAAAGCGAAAGATGTGGAACTAATGAAGGAAATAAATTATTTGGGTAGATGAATGATGATAGACAGTCATGGCTGATACTACCTTTTATTTGACAGTCTAATGCCTTTCTTTAAAAGGGCATGGTTACCTTGAACATCATGCATCTTTTTCCTTTACAGGAAAGGCTGTAAAATAAAAGGTAGTAAAAACAGTACTTGAAGGTCTATTGACTGTATCAATTGCAAAAGCATATGGGAAATAATGCTTTGGCTAACAAAATAACTAATTGTCTTTTCTAGGTTTCTTTTTTTCTTTTGTCATTCTATAGTTTAAAATAAATTATTAAAATCCAGGCTACTTAAAAACATCCATTTCTGCTTTATAATCTCTTCCAATTTCATTAAGATGCCTGTGGAAAACCAGTATATACTTTCACCTGCATGAAGAGCCATTCAATCCAGTGATATTCTTACACAACTCTTTTGACAATCCTGCTGGACATTTTAAATTTTTTGTAAAATATATTTCTACTCACCGATGGCGTTTTGGTTAAATAACTGCTGAAAAGGCTTGATTGCAGCATACTTGCTAGAGCCATTAACGTGGATTACAATGTCATTGTCAATCCCTTCAGGATCAATCTGAGTCGTGGCAAAACTGCACTCAGTATTCCTGTTCCACTCGTCTTTGCTGTAATCTTGACACTCTTCCGTGGACGTCTCATACCTGAATTAAAATGCTGGTGAGACACGATGTTCTTAAAGAAAGCCACTGCTGACTAAAATGGGAGGAAACACTGACCTGTAAAAGAGAAAGTACTTGGTGTCTTTGGGTGCCCCTGGGCCAGGAAGCCAAGTGCAACGGAGGGCAACAGTGCTAGAAAGGGTGATGTGAGTAACACAGGACAGATTCGTGACAGATGTCTCTGGAGCGCCTAGAGAGTCAAGGAATTACAAAGCAGAAAGAAAAAACTCATTACAAAAGGCGTATGGAACTTGTGTTGCTAAAACATTTCGACTACAGTCTCTGGTCCACAAGACCTGTGTCTATTGTGTGCAGTTCTCTTCCTCAGCACACAGTTATGGATGGATGAAGATTCCCAAACAGCGTAAGTGAAGCTGTACCACACGGCACCACTGCACATTTCACATACATCAAGGCAACACGATCTTTTTAATATCCCAGAGTGCATGAAAGTAGGCAATCTCAGCCATAGCAAGGAAATTTTAGGAAGTTTTATATGGGTTTTCAGTGTTGTGCACCTCCAGATTGTACACCAGGCTCCACAGCAGTAGAGAAAGGCCTGGACTAAATCATTTTGTAAGATCAATGGAGCAGGCAGAGGGGGCGATGCTGTGTTTTTCAAGTATTGAACCTGTCACCTTTTGATGTCTAGTTCACAGACAAGGGCAGAACACAAATTCAAGACCTCCCCTCCACTTCTTACCTGGCGGAGGCGGGAGTTTCGCCTTCACCCAGGCGCTTCTCATCTCAAGGTCATTGTGGAGAAGTAACGTCCGAATGTGGGCGGAGAAACCATCATGAAGTGCAACTGTTTGGATACTGTAAGTCTTCTTTGTATCATACTTGAAATAATTTTTTAAAAAAATAAATTAAAATTAAATGAGTATCACATGTGATGGAAGCTAAATTAAGGGACCTGCAAAGAATGACCCAGTCTTTGCGTTTCTCATTTGAGACAGCAAGACCCTTATCTTACTGAAAATTTGTCTCTAGCCCAGAGCTGTGATGAAGCCTGGGCTGATATTTTAATGATGCCCAGACATTAAAGTGAATTAAGTGAGCTGACTTGGCTGGGGAGCAACGTTACCTAAAACCAGTATCCACCTCCCCCCAAAATGAGCACTGCAGAGACCACCAGTTCCCCAGCTAACCCTCATCCCAGCAGATCTGTACTCATGAGCACAGCAGAAAGAGAGTCTCTCTGGTCCTCAGAGTTTATTTGTTTATGCTATAAGAGAATAAGTGATTCAATACGCCAATTGTTCGAGGGACATATCCTGCCTATTACACCCTGGTTGGTGCAACACGTTTAACTCAGCATGAATTTAACCTTCTTAAGATGCCGGACTTCTCTTGTGTCTTACCTCCTTAGGCACAGGGCTTAGGATTTTCACATCATATCTAATAGTGTAGTTTTTTTGTTCTTGGTTAGGGTTTGGTTTCCAGTGTAAAAGCACTCGTGCTAACGCAGAGACTGTAAGGGTGAAGTTAACAGGTGGGAAAACCTGAACTGTAAAGGAGAAAACGAAAATAGTCATAACAGGGTAATCCAGTGAAGTGTTTAGAGCAATAGCTGTTTACAAGCAAGGAGCAATGCAACCAAATAATTTTATTTCAGTATTGCTTTTTCTCAATAGGTGCCTGAATAAAAGTTTACCTAAAGCTTCACAGAATCACAGAATGTTAGCTTAGCTTAAAAAGTTATTTTTTTACAGCACTTTCACCTTGAAAATCACAATATTCCATTTGGCTTGTTGATTAGAGTCAGGTTTTTCAACCTGAGCCTCATAACCACACGTGTAATGAAATGGGACCGATTCTCACCTACATAATAGAAGAGCGTAACACAGGGGCTTTCCAAGAGAAGGCTGACAGCCACAAGAAGTTTTATGTGAGAGAATGAACAAAATGATGACCAGAGGAATTAAGCACAAATGGAAGAAAACAGAGAAGGATGGAAACGATAATTTTAAACGACACGGCAAGAGAGATTCCTGGAGCTCATATGGAAATGAGGAAGATCTCCTGCCGGGGGAAAATGTTAGCACATAAATAGCACGGCAATGAAATAATCAATCTATTCCACTCCATTTCTAGAGTTCTTGAGAGCCTGCCCTCCCTTAATTACCACCTCCAAGGCAGTTGAGGGATGTCAATCCTCACTTCTCCCATGATTTCCACCTTTCACGCCCACTAGTTCCGTTTTCGAGCACACACATTGCGTTAGGAAAAGTGCCTCATGAAGGCTCCGAAAAACCCCAACACAAACCACCCTGGCCAGCTCGCCTTTAAAATGTTCCATGTTTGATGCCTACAGGATGAGATGCCTACAGAAAAACCTGACACCTTTAAGGCCATGGATACAGCAGGACTACGCCAGCGATGCTTTGCGTTGCCGTGTTTCTACAGCTACCTGCAGTTTTGTTCCTGGAAGTAAAATTGCTATCCCGGAATAAATTGGCTGGATTAAATTGTTGAATAAACCAGGCCAGGAAGTACTATCCAGCCCAGAGGGCGAGTGGTTGTGTCTACGTGCCTCAGGGTTCTTCCCTCTCGAAGCAGAACAGTCCTCAAGGCCTGGCTAGGAGCAATTTGACTGAGACGGGATACGAACAACTGTCCCAGGAACTGCGTTAACACACGCCATGGGCTGGATAATTCATGTGTAAAACTGTGTTTGACCAACAGGTAGAGGCGCCTGGTCACCCACTGGAGCTAAAGCGAGAAGGAAAGGTAGAAGGAAAATACTTTACCTCCTGCAGGCTGAGGTACGTGTGGCTGAACCAAGCTGATTGTCCAAAGGAGAATCAAAACAACGCTTATCGTGCTGGCCATAGCCTTTAGATGGTGCCAACAGCCACGTAGTGGCATGTGTCCCTCGTCACCGTTGCACAGAGGCCAGTAGCTAAAACAAAACACGATGCCAAGTGTTAGGAACACCAACCCTGGAGCGAGATATATCCATAGGAACAAAGGAATGAAACTGCTGCCTTACAGAGGGGATAAACTCATCCCCCCTCCTTGCAGCAAAATGCATCTTGGCATCACTAAATTTAATGTAAAGTCCCACAACTGCATTTCAGTTTGCTCCCTTTGCTTTTGCCTGCCTTTTTTTTTTTTTTTTTCCAAAAGCCACTGGTTTCAAACATGGCCACGTGCGGGTGTTCAGAGCAGCAGTCACAGAATTAGAGCATCTCCCCATGGAGAGGAGCAAGCTGGGCTGGGGCGTGTTTGCTTTCAGTAGAGTCTCATTTACTCCAAGAACAGAAGAAACCATATTTTTAGCTGTCACTATATATAAAATGGCTACTTAGGGGAATTTACTTTCCAGTTTCCATTTCAATAAAGCTTGCTAAAGAAGCAGTCCCAGCGCTCACCTCAAGGCTAGTTCTCCAGTGTTAATTATTGGGTGTAAACTATTTTGTTTGTTTCTAATTTAAATGAACGACTATTTTTAACACTTAAAATCAGTATGTTCTTACACTTCCTGTAGATTGTTTCAGAGAGAGAAAAAAAAAAATTGTGTGTAATAATTCATGTATAACCTAGTATAAACAACATGGAAATACAGAACAGCAGCTTTCCGTAATGTTCTTGCCGAAGAGAAATATGCCCTCCCAGCCCAATCACGCTACTTCCCTGGGGCACTACAGCAATTGCTTGTATGGAAAACATAATATTTTTAGATGGTAATGAGCAGAGAAAGCATCTTTAACCCATCAGTTCTCCCTGAACCTTCAATAAATAACCCGGGGACTGGAAGCATTCCAATTGATCACAGCTGGAGTACTTCTGCTATACCATAACTATTTTTCAGAATGGTGTAGGAATGCTGAGCTCATTAAAATGACACACAATCTACAATACAGTGTATTTCTTCATGCCCAAGCCCACTCACTGCCGATAATCGTATTTTCTATGTGTCTGCTATTCTGGTAGCCAAAGCCATGCGTGAGGCTAACTGAACCTCTGGAGCTGGCCAACGGATGCTTCCCAGGGAGTCAGGGTTTGCTTTTACATATGTTGGGTTATTGAAAAGCTGTTTTGGGGAGGCCAATTTGGTTCTTCCAAAATGTCTGTGAACCTCAAACGGACAATTGTTATTCACACCTACACAAGACTATTTCCTGTTGCACTGCCACCCATGAAAAATCTGTTCCTTCAGATTTTTTTCACCTGAATACCGTGCATGACTCTGCTTCACAAGATTATGTTATTCTAGAGGGTGTTATGCGGACCGAAAACAAGTTTGCAACGGCACCTGATCTCTGCCACACCTATACTGCTTTATCTGATAAAAATAAATTTAAAAAATCTGCTAGAACATGACAAATTTCCAATATGCTTTCGTACTAAGAAGTGACATCAGGCTTTCTTTCCTGCTTCAAAAAGCATTGTTTCATTTACCTGATGAGATTATTAAATGTGTTAAAAACTTTTTTTCTCTACTTGAAGAGCCCCATGGTTTACAACTGCTTAGGATTCGCATCTATTAACTTGAGTAATGTTAGTACGTTGGCTTCAGGACTGCCTGGAATTTAGCACAGCTAAAGAAGCTGGTTCTCTCTCGCCTTTACTTAAACATAAAAAGTCGTTACCTACAGTTGTTTGGGGTTTTTTTTCAAAAAGTAAGGATTCTGATTCTGCCCAGGCACATTCTTTTCCCTATACCTTTGAGAAGATCCTAAAGATCAACTTTTCAAGGGTACTTTTGCGTCTAAAAGTATGCATGTATTTGACACAGACATAATATTTTCTGAGCAGCAGTTTACTGATTTGAAACTGGATATAAAATTTACAGTAATGCAGGTTAGTTTTCATTATTACCCCTATTCTCCTTTTCAGTTTATCTTTTCCTGCCTTATTTTCAAAACTGCTGTTTTTTTTATTTTCCCTTGCTATCAGATTGACATTAAAATTACAGGTTTTGGAAGAGATATTTCTGTGGTGGTCTAAGACCACAATCTATAGGAACACCTTGCAGTCTATGATACCCTGTGTGCTTCATGTGAGAAATTACTGAAAAGAGAATCAGAATATGAGTATTCAAGTAAAGATATTAACTAGAAAACTACAGGAGGATTACGCTCCTCGCAAAAATGGATACAGTAAGTTCTCAGAACAAATAAAAGCCTTGATTACGTTTTGGTTATATATGGTAAAAAGTAATAAGCAGAAGGTAAAGGATATATTCCCCATAGTAGAAATCCAAACCACAGTAAACAGCCTCTACAAGGTAATGATTTTCTTACTTATAGCTGGCACGTGTCACTGTCTCACAAGCAACTGGTCAGAAGCAGATTCCAGATGCATCGCCCAGCGTAAGGCAAAGCTGACTTGGAAAAACGGGACCTTTGCAGTCTTTAAGAAAAGAGCAACAAGACAAAACCAAACCACAACAGATATCCCAGGGGGTTACCTGCGGAGTCTCAGAAGTTCTGTGAAGAGTCTGCTCCGTTTGTTCGCACGTCCTCCGGGTCATCTCCCTGTGGGTTTCTTTTATAACTGCTGTCTTTCGAGTACAAACGCGATAGGTGCTTCAGAAATGATGGCAGAGGATAAGTTACACAAGCACGCATTGAAAAAGGGAACTACAGATTTAATCACAGGATGGAAGGCTCCGTACAAGCACACAGTTTAGCCCAGAAATGGTTTTACTTTGTTTGTTGAGGGTTAACTCTATACCATAGTCTGGTAATCCTCTAACAATTTCACAAGAGCAGGACTGCCTGCAAAGAAATAACCTATAGGCAACGCACGGACCTGAGATCCCGAGTTGTTCTTTCCCCAGAAAATCAAATCCAAATATCACTGGAAAAACGTGCAGGGCTTGCCCAAGGATTTTATACCACCTCGTCCAGCGCTTTCGCCGTACAGCCACGTGGGCATCAGTGGTGTTTTGAGAAGTTACCAGGACCAGAGCAGGACCAGCTTCCTAAGTTTGTGCTGAAAGCTTTGAGCTGTGATCTGCAGAGTCAGGTAGCCAGGCATGACAGTCGTCATCAAATCTTGCCATCAGGCACTAAGATAAATGAGGTGCCCTCTCAAGGTCTGGCCAGCCTGTACCTCTCTGAACAAACAGCTTATTACAGGGCAAAGAGCTCTGTCCTGATTTTTGGCTGGGCTAGAATTAATTTTCTTCCTAGTAGTTGGCATGTGTTTTGGGTTTAGGATGAGAATAATAGTGATAACACACTGATGTTTTAGTTGTTGCTAAGTGGCATTTAAACTGTCAAGGTCTTTGCAACTTCTCACCACACCATTAATTACAATAATCAACCCATTAATTTTTACTTTTTGTTCCCCTCAGTCCTCCTCTACCCCATCTCACGGGCAGAGAGGAGCAGTGAGCAAGAGGCTGTGTGGTGTCTAGCTGCCTGGCAGGTTAAATCACAACGAGCTCTGACATCTACATTGAAATGTTTCTGTAGAATGCAGATAATTCCTAAAGGTGAAGTAGGAATTTAATAAGAAACACTAGTCACATGCACAAAAAAAAAAAGTGAGAAAAGGTTATGTTGTTATAAAGGCCTGGCTACGTTATTGTAAATCTGAGATTATCTTTTTTTTAGAATAGGTCATGCCAAAAAAGCTTTTTGTGCTCAGAAGTATGCTCCTGTCTGCAGTGAGGTGCTGACGGGTGCTAAAAATTCTGGATAGATGAGCATAACATTTCTTCCCAGTTCCCAAGGAACCTGCAGCAGTCTTTTTGCTGAGACAAAGATTTACTCGGGCTTTCAAAGGGAACCTCACTCCCAATTAACTCACATTTGTTCCTCCTTCATCCCTCCGTCATTTCACAGCACTGAAAATACACACGTGAGGAGGGAAGGACCAACCTTCCCAAACTGTAGCCCCTCCCCACGACTCCATACACCTCCTCCTGCTAAAGCCAGCTTAAATCAAGCCAGGCGGACAAACCTAATATTTAAACCACACCGAGTTGCTTCTCACAGTTCAGCAGCTACAAGGTGGTGGACACAGTTCTGCCGAGCTTAACTCTGGCACTGGGCTGTTTCAGTGACTGTTGAAGCCATCTCACAAGCAAGGTAACTAGTCCATTTCTATTCCCATGTTTGTGTCATATCAAAATTTGTTTTTCTGTTTGTTTTTTTTTTCAGTGCTTTTCCGGAAGCCCTTCCTCCCAGAGAGGGTGCTCAGGCCCTGGGATGCTCTGCCCAGGGCAGTGGGGAGTCACCTGGAGTCCCTGGGGGGTTTAAGGAGAGGCTGGATGTGGCACTGGGTGCCCTGCTCTGGCCCATGGAGGGTGTTGGGGCACAGACTGGACTCGGTGATCTCAGAGGGCTTTGCCAGCCTCAATGATTCTTTGATTCTGTAATCCTCTTTTTCTCTAAACTGAAGTCAAGTCACAACAAATGGCTTCTTCAGGAATGACCCTTGGAGAGGCTCCAGAGGAGGGGCACAAAGACGCTCGGGGGCTGGAGCACCGTTCCTGTGAGGACAGGCTGAGAGAGCTGGGGCTGTTCAGCCTGGACACGGCTCCGGGGACACCTGACCGTGGCCCTTCGGCCCTTAAAGGGGATACAGGAAAGCTGGGGAGGGACTTTCTGTAAAGGGTATGTGACAAGGGGCAATGGTTTTAAACTAGAGCAGGTAAATTTAGATTAGACATCAGGAGAGGTTCACTATGAGGGCACAGGTTGCC